TTGATTCTTCACAGCAGGCTAAGGCCCTTAGTCCAAAGCCTTCCAGCACCACTTCAAAATCTCACACATCTAATGGTTCTAAATATAGTCAAAAATAAATTAATTTTAGCCCATTTAGAGCCTACCTTCTTAAATGCCCCCATGAAACTCCACCCAACATCTGCTAACGATAGATAAGACAAATCTTGTAGCTGTGAAAGACACCAAACCACAGCTCCCTTCAGAGGTCTCTGACTCAGAGACTCCCCACCTTGTGGCTGAGTGACAGCACCCAGACATGCAAGTCTCCTCTCTACTTTCCCCTTCTGCCCCTTCTAGGTGGTAGCCCCACATCATTGTCTCTAGAAGTTCTCTTGCTAGGAGGGGCTACTCCTGTCATGCAACCTCCTGCAAGTGCCACCCAAATAAACTTGTGCTTTTAGTGGTCCTGTTTCTTCCTTCACCAACCCCCAAATTACCAGAATTCACCAGAGATCCCAATCTGAATCTACTCCTTTTTTTCATTCTTACCACACAGATATACCCTCTGCCATCAATTACGTGCTTGCATGTACATAACCCTCAATCTTCACCAAAAGTACAGACCCCTCTCAGGTTTCCTTGGACAGTATGCTTCTCTTGTGCTTCTCTGCTCATGGATCTGATCAGCAGCGTCATTCTCCCTCAAGCCAGAACCTAAGAATCGTCCCATGTGTGTATTCTCCTCTCTCTCACTCTCACTCACAAATCCAACTGGTCTCAGATTGCCGGTGATTTTATCTCCTAAATATCTCTCATGTGTGTTCTTTCACCTCTATCAAGCTCTACTTATTTCTCTGCTAAATGGTCTAAATCTATCAGCTTTTTTCACAGCCCTCCAGCCATATCAACTTCCCATCTTAAATCTTTTAGCTGCTTTCCATCCAGATGTCTCAAGTGAAGGACCAAAGACATCCTTTTTAATCAACATTTTCAGTATCATCCTCCACCCTATACACTGCAGTCATACGAAACCATTTGCATGATTCTGAATACCACACACTCTCTCACCTTCATGCTATTACAACATTTCTCGCTTCTCCATCCCCTCCATCTGCCTGTTTAGCTCTTACTAACCCTTCACATTTCAGTTCAAGTGTCTTCTCAGCTATAAAACCCTCTGTTACATCCCCAGTTTATTTTTAAGAACGAATTACCTAGGAATATAAATAAGAAATCAACCTAGAGTTTATTTCAGTTGCAGAACTTATCACATTGTATTGCCATTAATTATGTAGTTGCACATATCTACAACTATACTCTGATCTCTTACTGACAATGACTGTTGTTTTTTTTTTCATCTCTTAAACTTAAGAGCCTGGAAGGGTATCTAACACATCATAGGATACTGAAGAGGTTTTGTTGAAAGATTGAAAAACTAGGACTAGGGTAGGACTACAAAAATTTTGAATATCACAAATCAAGCCCATTTGTTCATCTCAAACATTAAAAAAGTGTCTTCAGCATTTGCAGCTATGATGGATGATTGCTACTTTATGCATATACATTTTATGCATAGTTCGCTTACTAATACACTCCTTCTGATGATCTGCCTCATATTTTTGGATATTCTTATGTGTTAGCTCTGCATCATCTATTAGGTATAAACTTGAATATGGACTCTACTTCCTTTGAAACTGCTTATAATGTCTACTTGAGGAACGGTCTCATATTTTTTCTACCTGTTCAATAACATATTTTAATAGCTGTATTACCTGTGAGAATGGTAAGACTAAGAATGTGGTAACATACATTTTGAAGAGCATATAATTCAACTTTTGATCCTGGGCTTATGCTTTGAACAGTTCTGTAAACATTCTTTTTAAAGACTAAAACAAACCAACATACCAAAAATAAATAAATAAACTTTTTCCCTTTCATTTCCACTTAAATATAGTAAAGCTATATTTAGACTTATAACTAGATTTAAAATATTAACTACAAAAAATAGATAGGAAATGGAAACATTTTAAAAAATATTACAGGATACTTATCTTTTCTCAGAGGAGTTTTGAACTACAAAAAGAAATAATCGTATGGCCTATATATGGATTTACATAATAAAATGTTATATTGTCAAAGGAATCCATGCTCTCTTCTTCTTGTATATATATTTGTGCTGCAAAACTGAAAAACAATATAATTAAAGAATGAAGTAGTGATATGTAAGACAGCCATAACTTTTTGAAATGAATAAATAAAATATAGTTAATAGTAGCTGCAGGGAAGAGAATGTGCCAATAATAATGGAAAACTTTAACATCAGTATTTTCTTTGTAAATTTTAATGTAAAGGGAAAATAAACAATGTCTGTGGCTATCAAATATTTCTGAAGATCTAAAAAGATGGTTTTTCTACACATATGTTTGTAATGCATGCTCATTAATGGCATACAGTCGTAAGTAGTCAGGTCTCAACGGGGACTCCAGATCTTCGATTCAAAATATTTCATTTACAGACAAAGAAAATGAAGACTGAAAAATCAAGTGCCTGTCTAAAGCCACACCACTAATTTAAGATCAAGCCTGGCTGCAACTCAGTTATTCTGATAAGTGTCTATTATAAAAATATGTATGTGACATATGAACATATAAAATACATTTGTATCACATCTATGTGTGTATGTATTTTTAACATGGATATTTGCTAGTAAAAAGAATTATACATTCTTTCTGCAAATCAGTCACTGCTTTAAGGTCAAATCATTAGAGCATCAAAAGGATAAATAAAGTGTTGCTTAAGGAGCACAGTATTTATCAGAAGTCAATAAAATGTTAATGATGCCCCTGTAGGACCTCAAAATTGTCGTTAAGTTTTCTGGGAAATGGACTCAATGTACACAATACTTTGGGCAAAACTTTTTTTCAATAGTTTTTTTTCCCTGAAAGTAATAATAAAAAAAATCATGTATTTTAAGTTCTAAATATTGATTTGTATGACAAATCATTACTATTTCAAAGAAATCAATGCAGCATAGAGCATCATAAAATATTTTGATAACACATCTTTTAAGCATTAAGGATTTAAATTTACCCTGATAGGAAAAGTGGATGAAGAAACATTTACTCTTAAGGAGTACAATGAAATCCTCAGAGAAATAAATGCATGAAGTAAAATAATACTGTTTTCTCTAGTTTATTTACCCATACTTCTTCTATAACTAATATATCAAAATCAAATATCATTGGAGATTATACCAAAGCACTTTAGTCATTGCTTTCCACAAATGGTAGCTGTTATTAAAATGCAACAGTAGCTTTGACAAAAACCACAGTCATGTGCCTCAGCAAAATGTTACCCCAGGAATTGTTGGGCGACTGTTTTATTGTTCAATAATTTTTCTTAGGAGTCCCAAGTGACCTTTAACTTTTACCTTTCTTTCGTAACTGATAATTAACTGTAATAACAGGGCAATAGCCAGTTTAATTTTGTAACATGCACAAAATCCAACTTAATTTCCCAAACGAGCATTTTATAAATAGTGAGTAGGAAAAATACATAAAATAGAGGTGGACATTACTATTTCTGTTCTGATATTCCCCTCCGCTTAAAAGTTACTCCATAAAATAAAAATAAAATTATTATGTTCTACAAAGAGTAACGATGATCAGTCTCGAATCCCTCCTGGGAAATTTAAAGGTAAAAGCACCCTCATCTTCATACCTTTCTCTTTATGTAGCATATTGCCCAAATTTGTACATTGATAATGTCCTCAAAACAAAAATCTCTTCATAACTTGTCCACTCCAGATGTCCTTACTACTGTGTATTGTCACATGTATTTAAAGAAGAAATGCCAGCTCCCTTTTTGAGACTTGTTTGTGGGTGCAGTGGGAAGGGAAAATGGTCAGGTTAATTACAATCTCTGTGTCAATGGCACGTGGCCTTTTATTTTCAATACTCTAATAACAGTAACTTCATCCTAAAGGCTCATATCATCAAAATAGAAAACAAAGTTGTGGAAAAGAAAAAATAAGATTTGTTTTATACTTTTAATATGCAAAAGCCTGTAGCATAGACCAGTGTTTTGAAAGACAGTCACAATGGGGTTCACTTGGAAGTTGTTTTAAAGACAACGTGTATTTGAAGTGTACATGTTATGACTGTGCAAGAGATGGAAGGATAGAAATTTATGTGGCAATTTGTACTGCATTAACCGCAGAGACGGTGGAATTAAGAAAGTCTATAAAACAAGCCTTATTTCTCAAGGTTATTCCTTCTTGACACTTTCATCCCCTGCTCCCTACTGCAGAATCCCAGGTGCCTGCTCAGAAGGCCTATTCTGTTAAGCTTTTGGGGAGAATATATTAATATTTCAGAAATAACACACAGAAGAATAAAACAGGAACTGTGTTTCCTTGAGTTCTTTAAAAGCTCTTGGATGGCTCTTTGACTGATGAAATGGCAATCTATATAGATCCCCTGAGTATTGAATGCTAAAATTCAGCAGAAAGGGCGCACAAAACATTTTCTTTGACCTCTGGTATAACAGTGATGGCTGCCCCAGATGTGAGAATTACAAGTCACAGTGCTCCCAAGGGGTACAGTTCTCTTCGGTTTATAAAGAGCTAGTCCCACAGGACTCTCTACTCAGCAGGAGATGCTGTCTGTTACATAATAGTTCTCAGTATTAAAGGGTACAATAACTATACCCTTTCTCATGGTAAAGCTATGTCCAAAGACACACAGACCTCTACCCAATCTCTCTTTTCTCCTTTCTCTCTCTCTCTCTCTCTCTCACACACACACACACACACACACACACACACACAGAGAGAGAGAGAGACGCGCGCGCGCGCACCTAAAGTACCTGCCAACTAATGATTAGCTAAAAATAAAGCAAACCTGCGCAATACAGATTTGGAAACATTAGAGATGGAAATCATGTTGAGAAGGAACAGAAGGATAGGGTTTTTTCTTCTTCTTTTGTGTGGGCTTTTTTTCCCGTTTTTTTTTTTTTTTTTCTTTTAACCTATGACAATTCATTTTTAGCCCTTCGTCTTCTCTTTGCTATTGAATATAGTCTTGAGCACCGTTGATTTCATTTCAGCTTCACTCCCCTGCTCTTGCCACTTGCCCACACCCACAGCTGCCACTCCTTGGAGTGGGGAAACTTCCCTTCTATTCTGCTGGGCGCATCCCCGCAGACTCCCTTGCCTCTCCTGGACATTGGGTGAGCCTCCCCACCGCCACTCTTCCTTACTTCAAAAAGGTGCAAAGGAGGAGCAGTGTTCTGTTTTTCTTTTTTTCTTTCTTTCTCCCCACCCCGCCCCCGACAATGATAAAACCTGAGACTCGAAGCTTGTTCTCAGGCATACTAAGCACTTAGGGGCACAGCCATCCTCACACCAGTTCAAGACTTCTCAGAGTTCACTACACAAGGCTGCGGGCTGGACTGGCAAAACTCAATTTGCCCATCAAGTTAACTTGGTCGGCCTGGGACCCGAGGCCAGGGTGAAAGGGCGACATCCCGGGGCCCTGTGGCTTCTCCCTAGAGCGCCCAAACAGCGGCGTAGGTCTGGAATGCCCCCGGCCCCCGGATTTGGAAGAGGCTGGCGCGGAGCAGGCGCCCTGGAGCAGGGTCTCGGGGGTCCCCGGAACAGTCACGTGTTCTCGAGACGCCGTTAAACCCCCGCCCCCTCTTCCCCACCGCCGCCTCCAGGTCCTGCTCCTGCTGTTGCCGCCGCCGCTGGGGTACAGGAGCTATCGCGCTGGGCCGCGCTCCCGGGAGCCCAGGGCCTGCAGTGGCCGGGGCGCCCCGAGGTACGGGCTCCCGCCCCTCCCTGCCAACCCCTTTCGCGCCGGGTAGGCCTGCACCCAGGGACCGTGGCGGGTCCCCGCGCGGGCTGCGAGTCTGCGCTGGTCCCTGGGAGCCCGCACCCCTGTCTCTGGTGCCAGGGCGTTGTCGGGGGTCCTAAGAGGGCGGGGTTGGGAAGGTGAAGGGAGTGCGGCTGGAAAAATGGGGATTAGGGTGTCGGAACAGACACTTGTCAGGAGTGAAGAGACAGCGCAGAGGGTACTGGGCTGAATTCTTTCCTACCGAGCAGGTCCCTCCAGTTCCCAACTCACCCGGGTGGAGCAGGCGCGGGCCGAACCCGGGAGGAGAGTGTCGGGGATCTGCGAAGGAGCCTCCTGGGGAAGGGGCGGGGGATGGACAAAGCGCTGCCCCAGGCTAGACGCACTCTTGCTGCAGCCCGGCTGGTCTGGAGCTGGGAACGGCAGCCCGCGGGGTGCCCGGGTCAGGGCTCAGCTCTAGCGGGTCTCTGGCGAGGCCAGGGGCGCAGCCCGCGAGGCGCCACTCAAGCCGTCCAGCTGCCGCGCAGTCCAGCGCTGACCTGAGCCCGGGAGTCAGCTGCGCTCCAAGGTTTGCGCTCCTATTTGCGAGGTGTCTTCATATGACAAATGCGAGAATAGCAAACATCCATAGAACTCGAATTCCAGAAACGGGAATTCTTTTTTCCAAGTTCACAGACCTTTAGTTAATCTTTTAAAGGAACTGAGGCGTTGTGTTGGACCAAAGCCAAAACGGTTTTACCATAGACCATGGAAAATAGCCTAAGGCTCTTTCAGAAGAATCTTGCAGTTCGAATGCAATTTTAGATTTCAGATTTCTCAAGGGAAGAGAAACTCTGCTGTTAGAATTTGGAAGGGAGGGTGGTGCATGCCTGTGTGTTTGTCAGCTGAGCAGAGCTGTATTTATCTTTCCAATTCAAATTGTGCCAGATTCTGGCTTTAAGAACAAACCATGGGAATATTTGAGAACATGGAATCATGCTGCTGTTCCATGAGCACAGCAAAATAGACAATAGTTGATATTGTATCATTGCAGGAGGAAAAGAATTACATATATTTTATTCTTTTGTGTGATTGTCATCCTTTGTGAGAGTGATGTATATTTTCATAAGGCAAGAAATTATTCAAACAAATAAACCTTATTTAAATGTACAAGTCAGATTTTTAATATCCTTTGAATTCCCTGAAGTTCCTCCTATTATTCTTAAGAACACTTTCTTAAAATACTTTCTTAAAATACTTAAAATCTATTCAGAAGGTTTCATTTGTCTAGGTGTCAGATATAGAAGAGTTTATAAGAAAATTCCAGTAAACCTCTGAAAAGACATTATTTTTTATAAGTTGCCATAGTTTAATAAAGAACTTTTATTTTTCACACTTTTTACTCAGAGATTAAAGTTCTGTGTTTCAGCCTGGAAATTCTGATGGTGGGAGATACAACTATTATAAAAGAGAATGAGTAAATATAGTAATTAGGTATGACAAAAATTTCATGCTGTCGATATCAGATTTCTTGTCAAATAATATTCCATGTTAAAATATTCTTTCTCTGGCTATATTTCATAATTTCTGTAGCAATCTGAGAAGATTCACACATATCATTACTTTTATAATGGATAAAATATATTGCATAAGAATGTACAGCACTCATAATAACACTTGTTGAGAAGTAGAGGGTTGTTAAACATATTTGCATTTCCATTGTAGGTCTGCTGACTGTGTTTTTCAGGAAAAAGGAAGGGAAAAGGTAAGTTTAAGGAAAGAAATCTTGCTTTTTTGTTTGTTTGTGTTTTCATTTTAAGAGGGTTCCTGTACCTTAGATTTTCGACTTAAATCTGATTGGACAAAATTTTCCTAATGTTTAAATTATCCCCTGGCTACCAGGAGGCACTTTAAAAAAACTACATATCCACCACCACCCCTCCCCCACCCCTCCTCCGCGCCTCCAGCGTTTGCAGTATTCATCATTTAGTTGTAAGAAAAAATTCTTCCTTCTTTGGAACAAAGATTCACAAACATGCTCATTTTGTGCAGACTATATATTAGGTATTGTATGTGTGTATGTTTATGTGGTAGATGGTGTGGGGTGGGGCTAGAAGGAGAGCAGGAGAAAGTTGACTACAGTCGCACCAAAATAAAATGAATAAATGAATGTGGAATGAATGAATGAATGCTAAAAGAGAATTTTTTTAATTTGCTAATCAGTCTATCAGTAGCTACATAAAGTATTCATTATATTCGGCAATAATACAAGTGTCCATGCTATAGTGAAATAATATACTACTGTCAGTCAGGAGAATGCCATTCATTTATTAATTCATTCATCATCCAATTTGAGGCCTTTTACATCTCAGCAATCTACAGTTACTCAGGGTGTAAGCTTGAATTAATCCATCATAGAATATTCTTGGCATAGCACCTTGCATTACTCATCTTTATGCTTAGAGCAGAGCAGAGCACCTAGCAAAATATATGTTCAGTAAATACTTCTTGAATGAATAAAAGAAGGAACAAGTAATCATTCTTAGCTATTCATTAATAGAAGGAGTCTACCCTTTAAAATTATATACAAATTCTGTACTTTCTTAAAATACTCAAATATTTTAGGGAATGAAAGAAGCATCCTCAGTTTTTTCTCCAGTGTTCAATGAATACTCAAGATGGCATTTATTTCATCTTCTTACTAAGGAGATGTGGTTTTATAATTTAATGCATTCAATATTTTATGTGCATGTATTTAAAATAAAAGTTTTAATAGCAGACTGCACAGTCATGGAAGCAGATATACTTCTTTTTTCGTTTACATTTTTTAAATGTTTTGTCAATATATCTTGCAGTTTTAGTTTCATGTTGCTTGTGTGATAGCCTTTATCAATGAAGATATCCAAATGAAAATTTAAAGTGCTAAACTCTCTTTGTTGTCTATCTAGGTATCTCCTCCTCATTGCATTTTGGGGCCATTTAAAACATCTATAATTTCAATGGTTCTCTATAAATGTATATATAAAGATACATATACACACATATGTATGTACACACAAATTTATAGTCATACTCTATCCTGAATTTTCCCACATTGTCAGGATGATTCATTTCTGTTATTTTAAAGCAAGGGAAGTTAAATTGCTTTTCTAAAATGATTGGTAATGAATATTTACTTTAGCATCCACTATGTGTAACATGCTTTATTAAACATTATTTCTAGAATGAAAAATAATTAAGACTTTTATCTCCATTCGAATATAATAGAGAGATCTAACCACATGGATTGGAGAAAAATCTGAATTTTAGACTCAAAACTATGTTGTTTCTATTACCACAAATTGTGCTGCATCTTCTCTTTCTTCAAAAAATTTTGGACAGCAATTTTACACTAAGTAAGTAAGTATCATCCACAGTTCCATGATCCAAAAAGGCACAAAGCCACTGTAGAAGGGGCCGTCTAATTTCTCTCTTGTTCTTGCTTAGGAAGTACAAGGAAAGGCTATCAGTAACAACTGACCTACCACAAAGTTAGAAGAAAAGGATTGATTCAAGAAAGGTAAGTCAAGGGAAGAACAACTAAGCAAGATTGCAGTTACAAGCAGCCTGTACACATGATAAATATAAATAGGATCATGAATAAGCTGAATTGAGCCAGAGGGTCATCAGAACTCAGGAAATTAGGCAAAAGCACCAGTCAAAGCTGTTTTGATTATAAGCTTGCTGACCTATCCAGAGTAGGTGCTGAGAGGCTGAGAGGCAATATGATGAATAATATGATTCAGTAGGTCATGCGAGTCACTTTTGTACCAGGTGTTCTTTTTCACTGAGGCAATATCAATGTAAATTGTTGGCTAGGGTCTAAGAATGAATGAATGCAATCCTCAGTCTTTGAATTAACTTATCCTTTAAAAGGATGTAGTTAGCTTCCAGAAAATAATTTGGTCAATATAGAATCACTTGTAGAAGTTGTGAAAAACTTATAACTTTTCTCATAGCACAAGGATGACTCTGTCATCCTGTTTGAAACTTGCTATATATAGAACTGAAGTTAAACTTACTTGTAATGAATGTATGTACACAGTAGTATTTGCCATTTGGAAATTTATTGAACTAAGACCTATAGGTCCCTCATAAATTAAAGATAACAGTTTTTACTATTAATTTAAATAAATGTATTTTTATAGTTGTAGTATAATTATTCAATTATAGATCTAGAAATAAGTAGATCAACATATATTAATAGGTAACAAAAGTGTTTTTTAAACTATGTGTATATCACAATCTCTATGACAGTGTATTTATTGGAATTAATTTGCTTGCTGGTTTGTGTTTTCTGTAGGAAATTCTTGTTTAAAAAAAAAAAAACTTAAAGTGGCCAGGCACACAGTGACTCATGCCTATAATCCCAACACTTTGGGAGGCCAAGGTGGGAGGATTACTTGAGGCCAGGAGTTTGACACCAGCCTGGGCAACATAGGCAGACCCCATCTCCACAAAAAAATAGAAAGATTAGCCATATGTAGTGGCATGTACCTGTAGTCCTAGCTGCTTGGGAGGCTGAGATGAGAGGATTGCTTGAGTCCAGGTGTTCAAGGTTACAATGAGCTGTGATCACACTACTGCACTCCAGCCTGGGCAACAGAATGAGACCCTATTTCTAAGAAAAAAAAAAAAAGTGTTTTTTTTTTTTTAAATGAGAGGAAGGGGTCCTTTTGCCTCTTACTGGTATGTTATGGGCAATTTAGTGCTTCATCAGGCAGTAGCATCAAAAGTCTAATATGTAGAGGTAAACATGTAATGCCATTGAGGTATGACATTAATTTAATTTGAAATGAAAAAACTTATTACTGGAAGTTATATTAATATCACTTCTACATTTACATTTAAGGTATAATGTTTTCCTTGAACAATGAATTAATTGACTCATTCATAAGGCAAAATCTATGCACAGTTTTTAAATTAATAAGCAAGTGAAATTTGTTTGTTTGTTTGTTTGTTTTAAAAAAAAAAACACCAACAGCACTGCTAGTCCATCAGTGGTTGTCCTAATCAGAGATAATCTGGCATATCCCAAACGATTGAGGATTGGTCACAGAAAGATGTCATCATTCAGCATTGTATCTACACAGTCAACAGTACAGCTTGACAAACAGATTTAATGAGTGCCTACTATATGCTCCTAGGTCAGGAGATAGTAATCCTATTCTCAAGGCGCTTAAATTTGAACGTTGTATGAGCTAGGTGATATTTGTTACTAGAGTTTTGTTTGAATATTTTATTCTCTCATAAACATTTACTTAATACCTGCAGTGGTAAAATTACTCTGCCATGTATTGGGATGGATTCCAAAGTGAGTAAGAGATAGTTTCTGCTTTCCCATTGCTTGTAAATAAACAAGGTAGACGGCTAGGCATTATAACGCAATGAGAGCAGATTATGATATGTAGCATCAGACAACTGTAAACAGAATGTTAACAGGAGTTCTGAAGAGGAGATCATGTCCAGCTGAGTTGACCAGGACAGGTGACTTTTAAGTTTGGCCTAGATTGAGATAGAAATGAATAGAATTTTTATGGTAAGATTATGTGACTATACTATGTACCAGGTATATTGACTTGGAGAATAATATTAATCAGTGATTGTAAAGCATATATCTTGAAGTTCTTGTCTACATTTGCTTTTTCTTTCCTTACGTTATTTACTACACAAATTTTAAAAATGCAATCTATTATCTTAACATAAGTTAATACATCTTGGAAGTAATGATAAAATTAAACTTACTATAATCATTATTGGCTGATATTTGCACTACACTTGGAACGAGTTAAAGATTTCATAAACTTTCTTAGGAGATTAATAAGGTCATGGGAGCTGATTGTAAACTTTAGTTTCTGTCTGAATAGATTAATTTAAAGTAGTCATGTAATTTTTTTTTAGGTTGATGACAAATGTCTTTTTATTCCAAGCAGGACTATAATATGGATTTAGAGCTCGATGAATATTATAACAAGACACTTGCCACAGAGAATAATACTGCTGCCACTCGGAATTCTGATTTCCCAGTCTGGGATGACTATAAAAGCAGTGTAGATGACTTACAGTATTTTCTGATTGGGCTCTATACATTTGTAAGTCTTCTTGGCTTTATGGGGAATTTACTTATTTTAATGGCTCTCATGAAAAAGCGTAATCAGAAGACTACGGTAAACTTCCTTATAGGAAATCTGGCCTTTTCTGATATCTTGGTTGTGCTGTTTTGCTCACCTTTCACACTGACATCTGTCTTGCTGGATCAGTGGATGTTTGGCAAAGTCATGTGCCATATTATGCCTTTTCTGCAATGTGTGTCAGTTTTGGTTTCAACTTTAATTTTAATATCAATTGCCATTGTCAGGTATCATATGATAAAACATCCCATCTCTAATAATTTAACAGCAAACCATGGCTACTTTCTGATAGCTACTGTCTGGACACTAGGTTTTGCCATCTGTTCTCCCCTTCCAGTGTTTCACAGTCTTGTGGAACTTCAAGAAACATTTGGTTCAGCGTTGCTGAGCAGCAGGTATTTATGTGTTGAGTCATGGCCATCTGATTCATACAGAATTGCCTTTACTATCTCTTTATTGCTAGTTCAGTATATTCTGCCCTTAGTTTGTCTTACTGTAAGTCATACAAGTGTCTGCAGAAGCATAAGCTGTGGATTGTCCAACAAAGAAAACAGACTTGAAGAAAATGAGATGATCAACTTAACTCTTCATCCATCCAGAAAGATTGGGCCTCAGGTGAAACTCTCTGGCAGCCATAAATGGAGTTATTCATTCATCAAAAAACACAGAAGGAGATATAGCAAGAAGACAGCATGTGTGTTACCCGCTCCAGAAAGACCTTCTCAAGAGAACCACTCCAGAATACTTCCAGAAAACTTTGGCTCTGTAAGAAGTCAGCTCTCTTCATCCAGTAAGTTCATACCAGGGGTCCCCACTTGCTTTGAAATAAAACCTGAAGAAAATTCAGATGTTCATGAATTGAGAGTAAAACGTTCTGTTACAAGAATAAAAAAGAGATCTCGAAGTGTTTTCTACAGGCTGACCATACTGATATTAGTATTTGCTGTTAGTTGGATGCCACTACACCTTTTCCATGTGGTAACTGATTTTAATGACAATCTTATTTCAAATAGGCATTTCAAGTTGGTGTATTGCATTTGTCATTTGTTGGGCATGATGTCCTGTTGTCTTAATCCAATTCTGTATGGATTTCTTAATAATGGGATTAAAGCTGATTTAATGTCCCTTATACACTGTCTTCATATGTAATAATTCTCACTGTTTACCAAGGAAAGATCAAATGTGGGGTCATATAAAATATATTTATGATAACTATTTATGTATAATAAATAGAAATTTTGTTAACATGAAATTTAATTTATGTGAAAGATTTCTGGATTTGAATGTCAGTTCATAATATATGGAAGATAATTTTATGTTATAGTAGGATTAATTTATTTAGTTGTGTAGTCAGTGTCAATCCAATCTGTAATTTCATTTTAGAAAGTTGTATTACCTTCCACTTCCATGTTGTCTTATAAACAAATGAATTGTATTTTTTGTTGAAACTAAAAGTTATGTGTAACCAACTCAGTACTTTTGTCCAAAAATATAATAAGAAAAAATTTTTCTTGAGGAACTTTTAATTTCAAACTTGAAGAATATCTACCAGCTATCTATATTCATTTCTACTCCGCACGCTTCTTAATGTTTAGTTTGTGAAGTACAGAAAAAATTTAATATGCCTAGAAAATCATAACTAAATGACAACTGTATGCCCAAATTATGATTATAATCTTCAACATTAAGTACAGTTTTGAAAGTCCTGTAGGAAAATGCTATTGCCAATTGAGAATTGGTCAAATTGTCAATTTAACTCCACTGTCCTAGTAATACACGAGTAATTTACCATATAAAGAATTTTAAATCCTTTCCAGACTCATTATACAACATTAAACACTACCAATAAAGTTGTTTTCATATACATCTTTTCTATTCTAAAATGTGAAGTCTAAATGGTATCTGTATTTCCAATTATTAAATAATTTTGAAGAATATTTTAAATGTGCACAGATAATTAATTTTTTGGCCAACATATAGAATGATTAACATACTTTATACTATTTCAATACTGTAGTTTCATATGCTGTCTTATTAAATTGAGGTCAGTCTTTTCAATCGTTGAAACTTTGTGTTAGCCTAGTCTTTTAAAGAACCAAGTCTCTGAAAAACAATAGCATATTTGCATATATGATTCAGATGTGCATAATAACATTGATGTCTTCAGTTCCTATAACTGATTTAAACCTTTTCCGTATTGATTCCTGTTCATAATAAGGGAAAACAATGAAAGAAAACAAATACAAAAGCTCTAAGTTTGTAAGTAATAAGCCATGCTGGTAAGTATTTAATTAATTAAAAATCCAGAATGTCTATGGGGCATTCTTTATGCCCTCCTTCTTCCCTGGATGATATCCACCTACGGGAAATTGATGTGATTTCTTGCCATGCGGGAAATAGTGCTGGTCCACAAAATATCCTCTACTGCTTCCTGTTGAACTCCAGTTGAGGCACAATAATCTTGCCTTGTCTCTGTGTTACATCAGGCTCTGATGTACCATGTATGCTCTGTTCTCAACAAGGTTAAGGCCTGAGAGTCCAGCTCCAGAATCCCCAACCCCGGCTGACATGGTAGGATTGATACTCTCATTGACTTAAACTGTCATTACTTGAGTGTCAGCCACATCCTCTGTTTTGTTCAAAGGTTAGGCTGTCTACTCTGTGGAGTCTTGCTATGCAGTCAATGACATTGCCCCTTGCCAAACGTGGAAACTATTGGAGAACTTTACATTCATCACTGGAACTCTGCAGGAACTTATGAAACACTGCTCCTCACATAGATAACAAAGAACTGAGGCAACTTGGGCTTACTCAGGCCTTCTCTCTACTCAGATGTGATAAGCTGCCCTATCAGCTCTGTTGTGTCCACTCCACATTGGTACAATAGCACTCTGCTTCTCAGTCCTTCTTTAGACTTTCAGATATAGATCTGGTCACAAGCCCCCTCTGCTTTTAGCTTCCCTCGAATCTTTCTAGTGCTATGTGAGTGCCTTTCCCAGGTTTTTATATTATAGCAGATGGAAAAGATGAAAAAACTTGGTTCACCTTTGCTTTTCTCTGTTTTCCTCTTTACTTTTTATTCTAAGGGATTCTCCTTTTTTCTGCCTAATAAGAATGTTCCTCACTAATATCATCCCTTTTCTCTGCACTGTGACATAGTAGAGCTATGTTAATCAAAGTTTGCTTTTGGAAGGGAAGATTTTATGATTAAAACTTTTTTCTTCACTCAGTCTCACCATGGACAAAAGAAGAAGGGGAAGGGGAGTAATCTGGAGACTAATCTCATTTAAAAGCAATTGGTATTTGCACTTTCACTAGCACAATTAATTTCAAGGTTTGATGTTAGTGGCTGAAGGGAGAAAAATCTCACTGATAAGGGCTAATATAAATGCATAGGGAGGTGTTTTATCCTGTTAGAAAAACTTACATTAGCAAGTACACAATAACTGTCAAACTTCACAGGTTTTATGGCTGTTGATAGATGAGTTTAGTTAAGCTGGATAAACTAATTTGGAGCTCTTAAACTATTGAACTCGAAGCAAGAAATTTTTCTTTCCTAAACAGAAATAACTGAATGTTCTTAATAATTGAAAGTTGAGAACTGTGGATGGGTTGGTGGACAGAAGTCATTAAGATTTGGATTAATGGTTTTAGAAGATTATTATGAATAATGATTTATTTTATAGACACTTGCTTAGTGAGTTAAACAATTTATGTTCATTCAAGTCTCCATTGCTCAAAGGCTGATTATCTTTTTCCTATTCTCTCCTGGTGTCTGACTTGATTACTTGTTCAATAGCATCTTCACAAAAGCATGGCTAGGGGAAATGAGATGAAATTATAAACAGTCACCCTCTTTACTTTTTTGCAATTATTTAGTAATATTTAATTCAGGAAGAGATGTTAAATTGGGCATTAGTGGTTATTTAAATTATTCCTGACCAGACATGGTGGCTCACACCTATAATCCCAGCATTTTAGGAGGCCAAGGTGGGAGAATTGCTTGAGCCCAGGAGTTCAAGACTAGCCTGGGCAACATTGGGAATTTTGTCTCTACAAACATTTTAAAAGTTAACTGGGTGTGGTGGCTCATGCCTGTAGTCCTAGCTGCTCAGGAGGCTTAGTTGGAAAGATTGCTTGAGCCCAGGAGTTGGAGGCTGCAGTGAGCCATCATCATGCCACCGTCCTCCAACTTGGGGAACAAAACAAGACCCTGTCTCCAATAATGTGTGTGTGTGTGTGTGTGTGTGTGTGTGTGTGTGTGTGTATTCCTGCCAGCTATGTTGCCCATTACTGTGAATAATAAAACACTAGATTAAAAAAATAAAAAGCTGGCAAAAGCACAAAAAGCAATTCAATTAAATGATGAAGAAATATATATATGAGGATTATTTTAACCGACAGATATCTATTGAATATCTAGTGTGTACTAGGGATTCTTTTACATAACAGACCAAAAAGATCCCTACTCATTTGATGTTGGCCTTCTGGAAGGCGGGGAGTCAGCAGTAGGAGGTGAACAAGCAATAGCAATAAGAACAATAAAATGAGATATATAGTAATGATACACTATATAGATACATGTATTGTCTGCAAAGGCTACCAAAACAAAGCACAGCAACATGGGTGACTTAAAACAACAGATGTTTATTGTCTCACAGTTTTAGAGACTAGAAGCCTGAAATCGGTGTGTCTGTGGGACCGTGCTCCATCCGAAACCTGAAGGAGAGCCCCTCCTCGCCCCTTTCTGGCTTCTGTGGCTAGCTGGCAATCTTTGGTGTTCCTTGCAGCTGCATAACTCCAACCTCCGCCTTGTCATAGGATGTTCTCCCTGTGTCTCTGTGTTCCAGTCACTCTCTTCTTATGAAGACACCAGTCATATGGGATTGCCCCCCAACCCATCCACACTTTAGTAGAACATCATCTTAGTTGAAATACTTACATCTACCATGTCTTTATTTTCAAATAGGGTCACATTCTGAGGTATTGGAGACTACTATTTCAGTATGTTTTTAGGCAGGAGGACAATTCAACCCAATAACAGTGTATTAGTAGTAATGATTAGAACCTTAATACAATACAGAGAAGGGTCAGAAGTCATGTGCTTGTGGCATGAGGGAAAAAAAGAGATGGATGCAATTTCAAATGGGATGGTTGCATACTTTCATGGAGAAGATGACTTTTGTGCAAAGACGTGAAAGGGGTGAGGAAGTGAGCTGTATGACTATTGGGGAAAAGAGGACTGCAGGCAGGAGGTAAAGCCAGTGCAAAGACTTTGAAGCAGGAGCACACTTTGAGTGTCAAATGAACAGGAAGGATTCACTGGAGCAGAAGCGCAACAGACAGAAATGAAACAAAGAGCCGATTCAAGGACAGATGTTACAGGTCCTTGTAGGTATTTGTAAGGATGCTGAATTTCACTTTTGGTGAAATGAGGAGTTATTGTGGATATTGATCAGAGAGAAGACATAATCTGACTTACACTAAAAAGATAGCTCTAGTTATGAAAATAGACTGTGTTCCTCTGACTTCATTTGTGATATTCACCACCACGGATGCTTAATGCTGGTTAGTTCACTGGGGGTTGCTAAAATGGTGACGTTTTAATTCTATTATTTCTTTCACATTTATTAGATTAAATACATGAATGAAAAGATACATTCTTGTATCTATTATTTGGTTATGCAATGGTACAGTTCTTTTAGGAAAGACGGAATAAAAGTTTGATACTATCTCTTTATTTACTAATTGTTAGAAAGTGATCAACTCATGGGTGTAAACACATTTGATTGGCTTTAATGCATTGCCTTTATTAGCATTATTGAAGCTCAAATAGTTCCAACTTTGGCTGGTAGGAGCCCCTTCAAGTTACCTCCAGGTCATTACATTTTTTTGGTTCAGTATTTATAATGTTTACCTGTGGAACAGTCGGATACAGTAGAAGCTACTTAATCATGACAGAAGAAGGAGTCCATTATGTGCATTCTAAATCATAAATGATAATGGGAAAATTTGAAAGAACGAGAGTTTCTCAACTATGGGATTTTAGGTTTCTCTCTTTTGCTCTCAATAGGTTTCCTAAAGGGGTTGAACAGAGCTAGTCAGCATAATATTGAACCTGGATAATCCTGAACACTTTTAGTAATTTTATTATACTCCATATAATTTGTTTTAAAGTCAGGCTAATGCAACAGATGCAGTTCAATGTAAATTAGACACGTTCTCAAAAGTGTTAAAAGCTAGGACTGTTTAGTAGTGGATAATAACTTTTACAGGTGAGATGGTGGCCAGTCTGGCACTAACTACTCTCAAATTCACTGTAGAAGTGTTTGTGAGGATGGTGATAGAAAGGATGACAAGATCGATATTACAATTATATTCTTTTACATTTTCCATGAAAATTCTTGTTCCTAGTATTACATCCTAAATACAGGTTTATAATCCTTTATAAATCATTACTGATCTCACCTGAACTCATAAGAGGCTAATTATGGTCTTTATTTATCCCACTTGGCAGGTATTGTCATGCATTTTGCTATAGAAACATTAATATTTTTGATTACAGACAGCTACCCCAGACCATACTGGGGGTAGTAAATAATATGTAGCATATATACCCATATTATATTTATATCCAATATGAAGTTATATTAGTATTTTTCTAAATATGCCTCATCTCAGAATTTTAGATACAGGGTTATGGATATACAATCTATATATCTACTACTTACTTATTCCCCATCAACTACACTTTAGTAATTACTTTCTTTGGACTTTTTTATTCCTTGTGTATGTAGGTAGGTATGTATTTTTAAAAAGTGTCAGGAGATCTGTCATATAAGTCTAAATTTTCTAGTTCCAAAGTTCATACCATTTTCTTAGATGCTAGCTTGGAAAACCTTCCATCTAAATTCCCTAATCCTTGAGATAAGAGG